TCCGCTTTTCTGTCAAGGTGTGAATTCGCCCTAAGATTTGGAAACGTCACCCGACTGCTCCTGCGTATCATATTCTTGTTCACTGAATGTTGAACAAGGAACACTCGGGTGACTTTTCCGAACGCAACCTAAATATTATCGTGCATGTTACATCATGATCACGTGATCGTTATTGTCGCTCAACCACTTACTTGAACCGGGTGTTTCGAGCTGTTTCGAACCTTTACAATTTTGTTCCTATTGCTGCATTCGCTGCATAATTTAACATAATCTAAAACTAATCAAAAAGATTCTAAACATTCATAAGCTTCATGTAAATACGAATCAGAATTGAATCGTATTATGGCAAAAGGAGGTTATAACGCATAATTACAAATATCTTTTTTTTACAAATATTTCCTTCTCGATCTACGACTGTGTAGAATAGAAAAAATCACAGAAAGCGATATTGTAAGTGACCTATTACGTACAACTCAGAGAGAGATTTCATTGCGTTATTGTTCGCGTAAGTATTATTGTATCTATTATATTATTAATTTCAAATTAAGATAATAAAATAATTTTTTTTATTATTGAAGCTGTACTTCATATAGTCACACTTTGCAACAACGTTGCAAAATTGCTGCAATATATTACTAACGTTCTAAGAAAGTAATATAAATTGTATTGATTTTATTTAACTATTGATCTTATTCCAGCAAAATGTCCGACTCAAGCTCTAAACGAAAACGAAGTTTCGTACATAAATTTTTTAAGAAATACAACGAAACTTCAGTACAATGTACCTTGTGTCTAAAGGTATACAAAAATCACGGAAATACGACTAATATGACTAGCCACCTACGGCGAATTCATCCAGGACACATTGATTCTGAAGATAGTTCTGCACAAAAAAAAATTTGTGATACGCCAACATCTATCAATCAAGAATCTGAAGACGATCCTACACCGGTTGAACCTAATTCGCCTTCACCATCAACCTCGACAAGTACACAATCTAGACGATCAAGATCATGTACCCCATTGTGTATATCAGAAGAAGAAATCCCTGCCTTAATTCGCTCAACATCGCCATCCATCATCGCTCAAAAGCAGCCATCCATCATCAAAGCATTCCACAAAATGAAAACATACATTGGTAATTTTGACTAGAAGTTGCATATAAAGAATATTTCTAAACATGTCATGTTTTATTTAAATTTTATTATTTTAGATGGTGGTAGTATGGCATTTAAAATTACGAACGCCATCCTGTATATGATAGCAGTAGACAGACAACCATTCTCGATAGTCGAAGACAAAGGATTTAGAAGCCTTTTAAGTATCGTGGCACCTCTATATACTGTGCCGTGTCGTAAAACTATTACAAAGCGGATGGATGAAAAGTATGAGCTGTTTAGTTCAAAAATTAAGACCATGCTTTCGAAGGTCGATCACCTTTGCTTAACTACAGATATCTGGACAGAGCCGTTCAATACTAGAAGTTATATTGGTGTCACTGCACACTACATCAATTACGAAGCTATGCAATTGGAGAACCTATCTTTGGGGATCA